GGATTATATCGTTACCCCCCTTGAATAATATTCTTTCCGACCCTGTAGATATTGTTTTGAAATACTCGACTGAATACTTGGTTAGATATCACTAGTTGTTATTTTATTAACTTAGTTATTATATATTTTTGCATAATTATGACGGACATTAACAACAAAATATATGGTTATATAGGTAATCCTTGTTCCTTCACCTTTGTATCTGGATACATATTTTAATAGTGGGTGTTCTATTTTGAATGAATTTCTCGAATTATACATTATTTAAGCTTCATAGTGTATGTAAATGATCGGAAGATATTTCAGGGTATCTGATGCAATTTTTGAAGTGAAAATAGAATTTCTCAGGTGAGTTTTGAATTTTTTGTTTTTGGAAGAGGACCTCAAACTTGAAAAGTGAAGTTGTATTGTAAAATAATCGTTATTCAAAAACTACTAAGAGCCAACACTTGATTGTCATATTGTTGATGAAGGGGAGTTAGAAGTACATTTTGGTTAAAAGACAAAGTCTTTATGTCTCTTTGGTCAAGAGTTATTAGCATTTTATAGTGAAAGAAATGAAACATTTATAACTCACAAACAATCCTGGAAAAAAAAGACCAAAGTTTGTTGAATAATCAACATTCGCTGATAAAAATGGTTACATCAATTTCGGAGTTTCTGGCTATCATGGCTGAGCATTGATAGTCAAAAGGTTATTTTGTTAAATTTCATGAAAGAACTAAATTTATCTGTTTATCTAAATCGAATTCATGTTTTTCTTTTCTCATCACTAGAAATAAATTTGTTATTATAAAAATAATGTTACTTATAAATATGTAATATTCTTTAGACAATTAACGAAAGAAATCATCTATCAAAAACAAGAAAATTCCTTGTCGACATTCGTTATTTCAATCTATATTTTGTTTTTCTATTTGTCGGTTGAGAAGTAGTTATTGCTTTCTTGAATGGATATTCTTTTCAAATAACTAAAGTTACCGGTAAGGTAAACATTTTCAAGATTACACATTTTCGAAGAAAAAACAGAAATTCATTTTGTAGCATTTTCAAACTAGTATCAATTTTGTAACAATCTCATCTTGTTAAATACTTGTGAAACATGATGAATTTGAATCATCTAGATTGAATATATATTTATGAATTTGCAAAACAGATGTTTTAGCATGTAGAATATCTCATTTTTTTAGATGATAGATATGCCATGCGACAGTTAGAAAGCAATGACAGACTTTGATAAATGGATTTAAATGATTCACATTCGAAATTACTGAGTTAAGCTGATTTCGGTCTTCTGATATAAAGTTTTACTTCAAAGTAAAAACGGGAACCATATTTTTATCAATATCGATATTTGCATATTTGCTTTCATCAAAGGGAAAAACAATGTTATAACCATCTGCTTATGTAGAACTTCTTTTTTTACATTCACGATTTTTTTTATTTTCAAACCATCTGTGCTTACTTATTTGTCTGGCAATCTTTTAATAAAAAAAACTTAGAAGTTCAGAAAAAGCTCTATATATCGCTTATTTTACCTCCTATTTAAATCTCATATATACAATAACAACAATATAATGAATAAAAAAAGTATTATTACTTGTACTGTTTTTATGATTTTCCATATAACGTTAAGTCAAGGTATAAAACATAAAAATGAATGAATATGACTTTTTGTCTTATGTTTAAAGGTCTTGAATGTTATCAACATAATTATTGTCTTGGTAACTGCCCAGAATTATCAAATAGTACTGTTGAATGTGCAAAAGACGAAAGTCGATGCTGGGTAAATATTTCGAAAATCAAACTGTTTTTTTGTAGTATAAAAATTTATTTTTAGAAAATAACTTCTCCATTGGGAACAATGCGTGGTTGTGGTATGTCTTTGATAGTTTTTTGAAAAATTATTTTATGTTTGATCTTTTTTTAAGGAAAGCATCGATGTGAAGTACAAATTAATGTTGGTGTTTTTAACACTGCTAATGTCTGTTGTTTTGACAACCTTTGTAATTCATCTGTTCAAATTAAACTAACAACGGCGTCTATTTTCTTGACAAGTCTAATTACTTTTATTTATACATGGTGTTTTAAATAATAAATACACTTCTGTTGTACATCTAATGGATGACCCATCAACAATGGAACACTTCGATTTTCTGCTTTTTGAAGACAGAAACACAGTTTAAAGATGTTATTCTAAACTTCTTTGATAGAGAGTTTTCCGCTCTACAAAAACTGTTAACTTGATTCTTCAAATAGATATCTTCTGTCGCAGAAAAATCGAAAAGATTGATAGTCACTCAGCCATTGAATTGCTACTGCCAAAAAACAGAACAATTATTAAAGATATGTTTAAATAACAGTTCCGTCGAAATTCGAAATATACTGCAAGATACTCTGCGAAGCGCTGCATTTCGTGATGTTTCGCAATTTAAAAAAAAACAATTGGAAGAACAATTTTTCAAGCGAAAATTACAAAACGATGCAGAAAATTCTTTTTGACAATTGTATGCCATTGTTTTGTTATTAATTCGGTACAATCTAAAGACTTTCGTTGTTCGGTTTAAATGATACATCATTTTGTTCAGAATTCAATTCTGCATCCAATGACATAATCATAAATCATGCATAGAACACGATACCTTTTCAAAACACGAGTTTTGAAAGCGCACGTTCAATAAGATACCACTACGTATTAGTTTCAAGTCGTTTGCAGTTAACCAGCATCATTAGAAGTCTCGAGAAGATCTTGGAAATATAGAGCATAAAATTTTCTGTCTATTGATGCTAAATAGTTTACATTTAGCATCGAACCTAATGAGCACAAACTTGCACAAATCGTTAGATGTTTACAGAAAATAGCAGGAGATCGCAGTTAGTCAATGAAGCAGCGGTCAATATTTTCAACTTTTCGTTGACAAGAAAAACTTGTTTAAAAAACAAAGTCTACATTTTTTTGTAGAACGAAAAATTTTCTACCAAATAAACTGAGAATGGTCCCCTTAAACGATGTTCCTGTTCTTCAAATACGAAAAATCAAATTGTCTCATTATTTATGAATCACCTGTTATATCTTTATCTTTTTTTTTACAGATCATTGTTGGAATAAGATAAATCTCTTTTAAAAAAAAGAGTTTATTTCTACAATTCAGATGAATTTTATTTTAATCTATCTTTTATCAAAACAAGATCTTTCTCGGATCTATTTTATATATTGAATGATTGTACGACAAATAATCGCGTTCTTATGAACTGTAGGTGTCTTGTCATCAAAGATATTCAACAAGTTCGTTCTGTACTTGCTTATGAATAGACTATAGTTCCAATTAAAGTAAAGAACAGATATAAACTCATGTTCATTTGTATTGTCAACATCCAGCACTGAATTTTGTTTCTCTTCTTTGTTTTATTTCGATTATGCCATGTTCAATATTAATTTAACATCATCATTCTATTTCTTCTTAGTAATGGTTTTTATTCATAGAGCGACAGACAAGTACAAAAGACCTTACTATTGCTTTTCTTCATTGACAAATTAATAGAAATGGTAGGCACCCACACGAAAGATGGAGGAGAGAAAGAAGAACATCAAGAGATAAAATCTCTCTTCCTCTCTTTTGCTTTCGTTTTTTCTATCTATATTGAACAAAATATAAAAACGAGAGTATATTAATTGTTCGAATATATACACACACACACGCAATAACTGCCAACAAAAGCTACGGTTTTTTTCATTGCTCATATCAAAAAAGTAGAAAACATGAAATTAATCATTATTATTGTTATTTTACTTCTTGGTTGTGTTGCTCTTAATGAAAGTAAAATTCAATTATCTTTTGTTTTTTTTTTCGATAATAAAATGTGTTCTTTTTTTGTAGCACTTCAATGCTATTCGCATGATGTATGTTCAATTAATTGTCCACAGTTGAGCTATACCATAAAGTCTTGTACTGATAATGATAATAGATGTTACACAGCTACATTTCTTGGTGGTATTGCCCGTGGTTGTGCTAAAGAACGATGTAATGTTCAAGTAAGTTCTTTTGTTTTTCTATTTATATCAAATACATATAATCATTATTTTGTTAATTAGATCAATGCTAATTCAGTTACGGCTAATGTCTGTTGTGAAACAGATTTGTGCAATTCAGCAACAACATCAAAACTAACATTAAGCATACTCTTTATGATTCTTGGTGCCTTGATTTTGCCTCGAATATAAAAACAGAAAGAAAACAATAGACGGTTAACTTTGAACCATATAAGATAATCTTGTTCTTTTTATTCTGGCATAATTCATTCTATCTTCTTTTTTTGTTTTTCTTTTAATTTGACAAATTTTGTCTTGTATTTGTGTCTTTTATAAGATAATAATCGTTTTGATGCATATGCTCTTACTAATTGTTCGAGAATAATTTATGATCTCAAATGAAGCAACATTTGTATGGTATAGCAAAGCATTGTTTTACCAATCATCATTTTAATTTTAAAAAAATCTAAAACTTAACTTTTAAATAATTGAAAAATGATAACATTTTTTTACTTTGGTCGTTATAATTCTGTATCATCGAAACAGAAATTAGACTAACGAAGAAACCTCTTCAACTGATACTCTCTGTTTGACCTAATATTTTACTTACAAGTAGGACTCATAGTTTAGCGAATATTACAAAAAAAACTCGCAATAATGAATTTTTGTCTGAAATCTTTCTCAGTAGTAGAGCTCATTGTAGATATTAGGTCCTGAAAGTTGCAAACAAACATTGGTTTCTCGCAGAAGGTCCCACAGCACCTATTTTTCAGGTATGCCATATCTTAAGAAAAACTCATTGGTGACAACTGAAACTTTCAGGATATAATAAGTTTGATGCGATATGTTATTAAGGAAAATTTTAGACGAAAATTCTTTATTGCGATTTTTTCGTAGTATCCCAAAATATGCTGAAAATTCAGTAAAATGATCATAACTCCAAAAAGAAAGGCACTAGGGTACAAATACTTTTAGAATTTTCATCTAAATTATGAATCCTACTTATCATCGAAATATGAGCTAAAATAAAATATATCAATTGGATAGATTACCTCGTAAGGGCGAAATTCATGATCGGTAAGAGTTTTGTATTTAAGACTAGTAACATACAATACATATAAGTGAATAAACTTAAAGTAGTAATATCAAATTGATGAATTTATTCTATTGAATCTCGACAAAAAAAAGAGGACGTCGAGAAAGAAAAGTACTTTTGCTTTGCATTTCTTTCCAGCTAAACTAGCATAACGAGAACGATTAGAATAACACTTTAGCTGCAGATGTATTTCATACAACAAGACAAAAAAGTAAAAGTTTAATGTTAGTTCTGATAACAATTATAAATTTCTTCTAGTTGATGGCTATTGTGTAATCGCTTAACGTATGTTTATTTTATATTGTATGTAATAAAGAAAAAAACAGACAGACTAGATTTCAAATACAGTCAATTCAATTGTTGATCTATTGAC